ACCTGAACATACTTGACAAATGCTTTACAATATTGTGAATTATTTCTACTATAGATTTATGTACGAACAATACATAGCTCTAACAGAACCTCGATTACTAAGTTAAACAGTAATTATTACAGTATTAACTCTCCTTAACGATGTCACTAAAAAAATCGCTAAAGGTCAACTCGACCCAAGAATTTTTATCAATTATCATGGACAATTTAATGTGTCGACATGACTGACTAAACTGATGGAATTAACCACGTGACAATGCTTATCGCGACAATGCCAGGGTTAACATCTTTACATCTCATTGCCTTTAGCATTACTTCCAGTAAAGAAGAAAAGCTCGTATAATAGCCGATCGCATGGTGTGTGTCTTGCACTTGAAATCTACATTCCACCTTATTACCTAGAAGAGTTCTTATTGACGCTGCCGATACAGATGCTGATTACACGGACTAAGGGAAATAACTCTGGTACCCTTAAGACCTTTTCATTCACAGAACAGTGACGGTCTTCTCTCCACTATTACGCAAACACAACAATAAGACAAATATCCATTTGCCATACTAGCCCGTGTGCTCTTAGAGCCCGGCGTTTAATGCATTTTACAAAATGAAAACAAGATGACAATATACATTCGATAACCTGCATGTTCCAATATTCAAAGTACATGTTGCATTATGCACAGTAAACCTTGAAGACACAATTATATTTGCAGCACTATATAAACAAAATATACTCGGAGCTCGCCGTCAGCAACTTCACCTGCCTCCCAGAAAAAACGGAGATAATCCCCGGAAAGCTGTGTCCTACTTGGCGGGAAAACAATAACATCCCCTGCAGGATAGTCTGGGCGTAGCGCTGGACCTGCGCTATGGTTTATAGAAATAAAACCTCGCCGAAAAAAAAACGCAACACGTCGAAATACAAATATATATAATAACCCTATTCCTTGACATCATTCTAGTATAATTCATTACAAATGAAAAATAAAACAAAGAAAAAATCTCTCCGCACTCTACGGTACACGGCTAGATAATGACCCAACTACTCCATAGCCACGTGTGCCCGGCTATACTCAACAGCACGTGCTGCTTGCTTCCTCGTGCCGATAAGACAAAGAAAGTCCGCCTTTTCTTTCAGAACCGCGGGATTATTTGAGTACTGACTGTAACGGCACATCATGAGAACAGGATGTTGAACACTAGGGCCAACAGTACTGCCAAGCTAGGGGTTAAGAAAACAAAGTTTATTAGGGAGTAGATAAAAATAATGAAATAAACTCCCAAATGTTGAAATGGGAACAGCAGATTAGTTTTTGTTTCTTCCATGTCACGTGACCTATCAGAAGACACGGAAGATAACCCCTCCCCGATTCTGCAGGTGCCGCCCACATAAGTCGCCTTTTACGACATACAGAAAGATACAACATACCTATTCTTTCTCTGAACATGCAGTGGGTTAAAGATGATGGTCGTCCAACTGATTCAACTATATGCAAATTCAGCACATATACAGCTGGTCACATTCCATTGGATACATATAGGTTAACTAACATTGATCAAACATGTAGGAGGAGTTGAATATGCTTTTGTACTGGAACGATTTGCTGCCTTCGGCAATGTAATTTGTTTATAGAACGGGCCGTGTAATAGTATGACAAGAGAAAACATTCCACAGATTGAAGTTTTAAGACAGCTACGTACGATGTGAAATATTTTAAGTGAAACAATATAATTGTAATAACTTTTTAGCATCAAGTTTCATCATTGGAATGCTATTCATTTGTGGTAACGTTGGAACCTCAACTAACCTCGTTGATACAGAAAAAAACACACACTTTTTTCTTTTATTTTCATTGATCAGACAGTGCCAATAAATAGTTTTAACCTATCTAAAAATTCGTCAGGAGTTATCAGAATTAAATCGTTGTCCGATTAAATGGTAATGGATTCTATCTGGAAGATGGTAAAAGTTTGTGGAATAATGTTAATCTTCTTGTGTAAATGCTTTGGATCAGGTAAGTTAGACTCTTTTATAAGTATTTGTTTATTTCCTTTGTCATGTTTTCGTTGCCCTTGCTCACTGTCGCCTTTTGAACAGGGAAGCAGGATAGCAAGAATTGCTATGTTTGCCTTACGGTAAATCATTTTTCAGTCAAGTTAGATACTGAAGTTTCACAGATGGTAATCATGATATGATGACGATTTTTTTCAATTATTCGTTCTTGACATTAAGTTACTCGTTCTTTACTGTAAATCGCTCTTTTTTTACAGTTAGTTGCTCGTTCTTTACAGTAAGTTACTCGTTCGTTACGGTAATCGCTCTTCTTTTTTTTGCAGGAGGTTGCTCGTATTTACAATAAATCGCTCTTTCTTCACAGTAAATTGCTCTTTCTTTACAGTTAATTGCTCTTCTTTACAGTATCTTGTTCGTTTTTTTTACAGTAAATCGTTCTTTCTTTACATTAAATCGTTCTTTATTTACAGTAAATCGTTCTTTCTTAACAATTAATCTCTCTTTCTTTACAGTAAACTGCTCTTTCTTTACAGTAAACTGCTCTTTCTTTACAATAAAATGCTCTTTCTTTATATATATAATATTTATATTACCGTATATTTTTACGGTAAATTGCTCTTACTTTACAGTAAACTGCTCGTTCCTTACAGTCGCGTATTTTCCTTTCAAAGGTCTTCTCTCCCCTTCTTTGTCAGTCATTTTACTTTTATAATTATACAGTCTGCCTTAAACTCAATCTCTCTTCCATTACAGTACGGCATTCTGCCTTCACAGTTCTATCACTCTACCTTCACAGTCTTTTCACTCTATGTTTACCGTACATCGCTCCCCCTTCACTTTTCGTCACAGTTCTATACCTATATGCTTCACTTTTGACTTTTATCTCGGTGAATATGCGGTTATATGGACCTAAAAATGATGTTAACCTCAGCTTCGTCGCGATCAATACCTCTCTTGCAGTTTCATATAACTACTTGTCATCCTTTTACCATTACTGATAAATATTTCTACGTGGGTACTGTAATGAACCTGTTCCGAGATAATGTTATCAACCCAGTGTACTAGCTCACGCGGCCAAAACGGCCTCATGCAATAAAACAAGTGCCGACAACTACGTTTGGTTATAATTTTGATCTCAATCGTAGTCCATTAAGTTCAGACGTCTGTTTTCTGTCACATACATTTTATAAACGGCGAATGTGCTACAGTTTTCACATTATGCACGTTTAATTAAGCACTCTGCTTAAGGTATTCCAGTTTCCAAAAAAAATTGAATCCAGTTCACGATGATAACAGATGGAAATCGTGGTATATTGCAATATTGTTTCCTCATCAGTCTATCTTGTTGAAATGTTTTAATATATTTCTACATATGGGCTGAATTATTTTGATGTAAATGAGCATGCTACAACATTCAAACGATCATTTTCAATTTCAAATAATTTCATTGTTAAAAGACAACTGATTAAGGCTATATCCAATTATTATCATTAATATTTGTTTAATGTCAATTTTGTATTAGTATAGATAACGATTATAAATAATAATGCTCTAACAATAAAACTTACTAATTTTTACTATTTTTAAATACGGCAATATAAGATGTTGCTACATAAATGGCAAGTTATTTATTTATAAATGAACAAATAACAATTTTCGTTTTACTATTAGGAACAGATAATATAGTGATTACATTTTTTACAATAATTTGACCTGAATTGTAATCAGTGAATTATAATAGATATATGAATAGTAATGAATGAATATTTAAGTGATGTCAGACTTTAAACATTAAAACAAAACCAAACATAACATGGAAATTTATTTTAAAAGTAAATACAAAGTATGAGTAAAGTTTCTGAAATAACTGATGACTTAACATAATCAAAGCTAAATATACAAGAAATATATATTTTTAATGATAAGAAAATATTAAGAAATAATGTTTAGATTCAATAAGAGGTAATAAGACATATACATTGTCTTACATCGTACATAAAATCTTTCTTTGTTTGTTGGGTTGATGAAAACATGAGCCACATTTGTTCTGAGTGCGAAAAAACCCCACCCCTATATCCCAATGGTTTAGCAATGCTATGAGTGTATCAGTTTCACTAGTAATTGGTAATGTTCTGATAGTACCTTTGATGCTTTAAATATTTCAGAGATAAAAAGCGTTCATTACCGTATAGATGAACGGTACAATGATAGAATACCAAAAAAGGGTATTTTATGGACGAAAAGTAGCACACAAGTCCGATGGTGTTTGTATGTGTGTCTGAAGGATGTTGGTTGTGCCTCTATCTTCTTCGATAAAAACACCTGTCATGGATATTCTGTAAAGCTTCACGATATGATATCGACTGGAACTGTTATTGGTATGAAGTACTACGAACTAGCAGGTATGTATTGCTCGAAAAGGTAAATAAGAATTTGATGTTTAGCAGTTACTGTTAGTGTTGTAGAATGAACAATGAAAATGAGTTTATCTCATTCCTGTAAAATGTTTAAAATAGAATTACTGAGAAATCACTAACTTTCGTGGTTTTTCTATTTGCTGATTTCGTAGGTTATCTTCCTTCACGAATCACAGGTACACGAAGAAATAATAAGTTTGACATAAAATAATTCGCCGTGTAAGTAGAGCACTCGTAATCCAAGTACTCATGTAACGACAAATGTTGTTTTTTCGGGTTTAAAAATGTTGGCCAAACAAATATATCTGATTCACAGAACCAAGGAGTGACATTGAAACTCAAACAAACGGAGATGAGGTCCTATTCGGAATGAAAAGTTATATCGATTTATATCATATAATAATAAATTGATAATAAAATAACATGTGTTTCGGTTTTATATTGAATTAAGCATTTCTCAATGCAGATTTGGCGTAGGTAGAACATGCTTTTTACTTCTACTTTCTGACAATTATGTCACCAGCACACGCTCGCGAATCTGAAATTACAGAGTCAAATGTCATTGCTATTCAGGTCCAGTTGGGAATTTGGCTGCCGGAAAAAAGGCCATCCAATCCTCATTTATCGGCACTGGCGCAGCATTCAGACCAGAAGAGGCTGTCGACTCGCGTCGCTACCCATTACAAAATGAAGTTGACCCTAATCTAATGTCGTGCTCTCACACTGACCCCCTGGAGGACCATTTTCCGTTCTGGCAAGTTGACCTTGGATCACGACATCTGGTATTGTCTATCTCTTTCCTTAGCAGGATCGAATGTTGTGGTAAGTTTAGTTTGGTTTTACAGGGTTTAACGTTTCATCAACATTTAAGGTCATTTAGGGACGTGCATTTAATGTACGCATGCTTGTGTGGATGTGTGCTGGAGGCAGGGTCTGTTGGTGGTTGTTTTTGCCGTATTGCGATAGCGCGTATCTGATGCCGATTTTATAGTGCTACCTCACTGAAAAACTATGCCGAAGGCACCCAGCATAACATTTCGCCCGATCACATTATACTGAAAACGGGTTAACCAGTTGCTGTCATTAACTTAAATGCTAACTGTTTAGCAGGGAAAAATATCTACCATTTGTTACTCACCGCCTTTCTCTCCAGGGCGAACGTTGATTAAAACTAAAAGTGATGCGTTTGCAAGAAAGGCGCTAGAAATGAGCGTTGCGTCTCCAAGTAGACCGCAAAATCTCAATGCCCACATTATGCAAGGTCTTTTTTTTTCATTAGTCGCCTCTTTCGATCATGTAGTTGCTTACAGCAGGTGTATTGTTTTCTCAATCCATGGACGGTTGTGATATGTGACTAATATATTAATCAAATCCTATACAATTATGAACTTTTTTACTTTTCAAATATGCTGTGCTATTGTCCAATACCAAACTATGAACCGAGGTGAAATTTAAGGTCAATACATTTCCATTGCCCATATTACTGCATATTCACCAAGTTAAAAGTCCAGAATTTTAAATCATATATTCAAGTTAAAAAAGTCAAATTACAACAAAGAAAAGAAATTGAATTAGAAATATGAAGAATTTGATAATCATCGGTTTTCGGCTATATTCGGTGGTTATGGGCTAATGGCATATTATTTCATAATATGATTAAAGGTTTTTCAGCCAATAAGAAGTAGTTTATCCATANAGGTTATATAATATAACAAACTACATTATTAGTAGTGAACTGTACCGTTCCTTGCAAGGCCATTTTCTGAAGTTATGCATGGTAATATAAAAAATTGTTTCTATGAGAGATGAAAATATTTGACTTCTGGTTCCTACATTTTTTAGTTGGACAATATCAGAGACGTGACCTTCGTTTCCTCTACTATATTTTAGGTGAACGCAACCAGCGCCTGAACATCACCGTAGCAGAAACAGCCAATGGACCGCGAGCTTTGTGTATGTATTACCCAGGACCTGCCTTCGTCGGAGAGATGAAAACAATCTTCTGTGAGAAACCATTATTTGGCCAGTTTGTCAGAATCTCACGAGACGAGATTGTTCTGAATTCATGTGAAATCGAGGTGTACGGTTACCCACTGAACTAATAACTATTTTGATGATTAATTCATTTGAACAAGTAAACNATAATATAACAAACTACATTATTAGTAGTGAACTGTACCGTTCCTTACAAGGCCATTTTCTGAAGTTATGCATGGTAATATAAAAAAATGTTTCTATGAAAGATGAAAATATTTGACTTCTGGTTCCTACATTTTATTCTAGGTAAACGCAACCAGCGCCTGAACATCACCGTAGCAGAAACAGCCAATGGACCGCGAGCTTTGTGTATGTATTACCCAGGACCTGCCTTCGTCGGAGAGATGAAAACAATCTTCTGTGAGAAACCATTATTTGGCCAGTTTGTCAGGATCTCACGAGACGAGATTGTTCTGAATTCATGTGAAATCGAGGTGTACGGTTACCCACTGAACTAATAACTATTTTGATGATTAATTCATTTGAACAAGTAGACTTGAACAAGTAGACTTGAACAAGTAAACTATGGTTACGATTTGATACAAGTGTACATAGTCGATATCGGAAGAGATCCTTCTGACTACAAGTGTGGTGTAGGTGTGCGGTATTCCACAGATCCCACACGCACGGGTTTGGGGAAAGAAAAGACCTGCTTTATTCAACTGCATGATCGTTAGAGGCCAATAACGTGCCCCCACGCATGCTGTTTGATACAAGTATGAAAAAGGCAATAGACAACTCACTAATTGATATTCCAGCATTCCGCTTGTATAGAAATGTCTGTTATGATTTAAGGCTTAAGTTCAGCACTTTTCAAATGAATAATTATGTATGACTATGAGGTATTACCATTTTTTTAGAAAAACGTCAAAAAGTATCAAATAGAATTTATAGTCGAAAGCCGTTGTTATTAAAATCAAGGACGAACTGAGACAGGAACACCCATTTAAGCTTGCTGATTTTTGCCATTTCTTTGGTTCGTTATTTTGCCCCGAAAAGACGAGACTTAAACTTCTGTTATTTCCTCTATTCGCTTCGAAAAGACAAGAATAAAAATTATCATTCTCAGAATTAACAAACCTTAATTCTTGTTCTGTCTTGTTTTCGTCCCGAAAAGACAAAACTATGCGAATTAAACGCTGCTATATCTCGTCGTTTCGGGGCGAAAAGATGAAACAACGAAGATAGATACGTTTGTTGGTAATAACGCATTGAAAATGTTTTAATACCAAAACATAGCCGCTAGGCTAGCGATAGTAGCGATAAAGTCCATTAACTATTGTTTAAATAATTCTATCATATATATATATACCTTCATTAACTAGAATTCATAGACACGAGACACTCCGACTTCCTCTGCTTTCCTCGATCTGTTTTTAAACATGACTAAAAGGGACGACCTGCTACTTAGCTATACCATAAGCGTAAAAATATCGACTTTACCGACCGAGAACTTTCCTTTCCTTGATAGCAATTCCCCACCCGTCATATGTGACTCGATATCCAACAACTTACTCCGAATATATTGATTTCCCTGATAGATGCCGACTGCAGACAAACAAACTTGCAAGATTGTGTTTCCAAGGACACAGGTTGATCAAGAATGGACAAATTTTATGTTCGTCATCATGATCTCATCGGCATGTATGTTTTCCTTTGTGTGTAATGACGTTTTTTTTATACTGCTCATTAGTGCGTGTTATTGTTTCGGTGTCACTAAAGCAGTATGCGATAATAGAACATGGTAAATTTATTACTTAGATTTGACCTAGATTTATATAGCGGGTGTCGTCGATAAAGCAGAAGACGCTTGCCAATCCGGAACGTCTGGTCTTATTGAAGTATTTTCGCGAGAGTATTCATGTATATCGTATCTTTGTTCCTTTTATATAATAAAAATGTAAGTTGATTTCATTCGCAAATTCTTAAAATTGCTTTCGATCTGAACTGTAAATGAGATTTTCTCTGCCACCAATACGAATGTTAATCACTAGCTAAAATAAACAGCAAAACATTGAAACGACGAAGAGATGAAACTGTATTCCTAAGATAAAAAATATATTTTAAAGAAGCGAATTATTTATTATAGTCAATATTAAATATTTTATATTACATTGATGCCTCCAAAATCTCGTTGTACGATACCTAGAGACGGTTGGCACTTGCCAAATCTGATAAAATGAAAAAGAAAAGAAATTTAATGTAATTATATGTTTTGTTACGAATTCTGTGATGGTTGATAATTGCAGGTGACCAAAATAAGATTCCTTTTCGTTTGAATATCGATGGCTTCTTTCATCGGTTCCTTATCCTATTGTTTCAATCTACTAATGCCATGCGACTCGCCTCCCTTTACACGAAAAATATTACTATTTAATGAGTGTTTATTCAGAAGAGAATTAGAAAAATAAAAATCAAACTGTAAAATACAGGTATACATCGGTTTCTCTACATAGAAGCTGATATATTCTGTCATCTGTTTTTATCAAACTTGGACAACTGTGTGACAATTAAAAAGATGTTGCGAAAATCATCAGGTGTTTCACTATTTCAATGCCTGATATGAGCTTAGCTAGCGATGGAAATAGTTTGGAAGATAAAAGAAATTTCATTCTAGTAAGCAGCTTATTCAAACTTTTCAGCTTAAGACTGGCCGTGTTTATTGAAGTACTGTCTGCCTAATCAGAGTGAAAGTCTCATATGTTTCATATAAAAAAGCTATCTGCAACCAAACGAAGTTAAATGAACAACAAAAGAACAGCAGTTAGTATTAAACGAAACACAAGGTTGGGCAAGACAGCGTTCGGAAGAAAGCGATCAAAATTAATAAATAAAAATTACTACTAAATCATTTACTCGGATTTTTCGTAAAATAATTCCCATTCGTTCGAAATGTAAAATGTCAAAGCTTTGAAAGAAAAATCTAAAACAAGTATATATATATTTTTATTATTTGATAGAAATTAATTTTGTAAATGGAAACGTTTGTACAAGTGTTAGCGAAAGGAAAAACAAGCAGGTCTCGGCTTGTAAAAAGTCTTGTTGGTCCATCCACCAAACGGACCCACGCAGAAGAAAATTACCCCTTATATCGGGTAAAATCTATTTCTCTCTACTTCTTACTACCTTTTGTTTCCTAGCGCCTTCATTGGCAAAACCTCAGTTTTGAATATAATGTTGAAAGTTCGCCCAGGCGAGGAAAGCAATGGGTTTCCTCCCCATAGCGGGACATACCAAAGATCTAAGATTTAAAGTCGTAGTTCTTGTTCCCTGCTTAACATTCATCATTTAAGGGAATGGCAACAACTGGTTCACTCGTTGTCGGTATAATGTGACCAGGCGGAATGCTGTACTGGGTGCCTTCGGTAGGGTATTTTATTGAGGAAACACTATAACATTGGCATCAGATCCGCTCTATCACAAGAAAGGCAAATAAACCAACAAACCCTGTCTCCAGCACAAATGCACGCATACACAATCTACGTGGAACAAGTCCTTAAATGATCTTAGCTGCTGATAGGACATTTAACCCAGTACGGCCAGCCTTGCCCTACCTTAGTACGCTAGCTGATCATTCAAAGTGCGAGGTCATACCAACCCCGGTTAACGTTCTCTATGTTGAAAACCAACTCTGAAAATGCAGGCAGCTGGATAACATCTATTTTGAAATTAGTGCTCCACCAATCTTGTTGTCAACAAACGAATGTCGGTCGAGCGGATTGAAGCAGCTGTGGAAAAATAGAAAATCTTTGGCTCAGTTTCGATATCTCCAAAATTCTCATGTTCTGTTTCGAGATCCTCAAAATTACTTAATATTAGTAATATTATGTCACCAGTAATAGTAATATTATGTAATATTGTTTCACGTTATTTATGAAAGTAAACCAGTTAACTTGTTGTTTGGTTTTAATTTGCATTGATAGTGCTTCGCATTAGCAGTGATTGGATCCGGATTTTTTCAACATTAATGCAAGCATGATCGGGGGAGATTTTACTTACACACTTTCAATTACCTGCCTTAGTTTAACTGTTAAAATGCTCTCTTGAAATATAAAGTTCGTCTTTTTATGTTGCAGTAGCCCCCAAAATGTCCCCATTATCGCAAACGATGCACCAGAAAGACCTTTCAATTGCAATCTAAGTTTGAGCAAAATTTAGACATAAAATTGGACCATTGACACCACCTCGGCGGCTTCCATCTAAAATGTCTCAATCAATCAACAGGCCAGGGCGGCCATATTTCAGACCGACCAGTTGGGTTTAACGTCTTATCAACAGCTAATGCCATCTAAGGCCGTGCTTGTTCTGTATGCGTGCATGTTTATATGTGTGCATGAGGGAGGGATGACTGATATGTTTTGACGCTCCGTTCGTCCATCTTTATTGTCTTCCACTTCACAGAAACAACACCCGATTCACATAGCAGGATTAAGAGTGATCTGCCCGTAGACAGATATGACCAGACACCTCAAAACCAGTTCCTCATGCACATAACACCAATGCTCATGTGTAGTCTCATAAGTACCCGGTTAGGAAACCTTTACACAACAAAAGTAGCAGAATTACCATGATAAAAGTATCTGATTAAGTTATTGATTACTGTGTCGTGTATAAATGTTATTTCATTTTTATGATAAGATCGTAAAGGAGGTAAATAAGGTTCGATTTGCTTTAGGTTTATAATAGGTAATATCTGTCAAAAATAAAACAAATATATGTGGTGCCTAGTAAACGTTAATTATTTATAGGATTTTGTAGTCACTAGGTACGAATGATTTACGTTTGAACCTCAATCGGAATTTGCCCAAGATACTTCCCGTACCAATGCATCAATTGAAAGAGAACGATGAACTTCTACTAATCAAAATGAATAGATGTATTGGTCTTAATTGCATGCTTTTCCAACCGTAGCGTATTTGAAAGGTAAAAAAAAAAGTTCGGTATGCAGATTGATGGAATCTATCTGCAAGTTTCATGCTCCAATTAGGAAATATTCTGTTGCAATATGGCTATCGATTTATATGCTGACTAGTGTGGCGTGTGGTTCTTTGTCACCATCCCCCTTCATGTATCTCTCTGTCTCTCCGCTTCTGTTTGTCTGTCTGTCTCCCTATCTTGCGAATGAGCAATATACCTAAACATTCTCTTTTTATTTGATGCACGGTTCATTCTCTAAAATAAAATATTTTCTTATATATTGGCTTTTTAGTTTAATCTTTAATAAGCTGAAATAAGGATTCAATGGAATTTTATAACGTTGAACAAAACCATACAATTCTCTTAAATCGTATTACTCGCCTTTCATTTAAAGATTCTCAATAAATAAATGATACAGTTAATTTCTTATCACAGTATGACAT